GGCTTGACGGTCACTCTTTTCGTATTGCAATGTATATATGATTCTGTCCCATCGTCCATCCTAAAAATAAGTGCGCACCATTCCAAAGGGCCCGTATCGACCCCCCCCCACCATCTTTTGCATAACATACTATGCGAGCGCACTCGTTTATCACAAATCATCAGCTTCCAAGAACCCCTTGCAAACAAACCATAGGACGAAGTGCGCACGCGCGCGTCGTCGCGCGCGCATGCCGAAATCCTGCAAAAAACACTTCGTTTGGTAAGGATTTCAAAACCGAGTGTCCAAACCACATAAAACATTTTTTTCGTAAGCGGCGAGCCTACGAAATCCGCAACATCGTAAGAGCTAGGTAGCGGCACTAACTCGCGAATTGGACGGCGCGCAAGGAGGCAGGGGGGAGGCAGACGAGAGGACGGAAGGACGGAACATATAAAAACCCATGGTTCGCAACGCCGGTTTCCCTAACAACTTTCGCGCGCGCTGTTGCGAATTCTTCGGGAAGCCATGTGTTTCCCAACTGTCCTTGGTTGGGTATTCGTTTGAATACAGAACTGTGGTCGCGTCCTTCTCCTGCCTCCCCCCTGCCTCCTGCCCGTCTTGCCTCGGGGGGGGTGGGCTGCGATCCGTGAAACTGCGAGGGCTGCTGGGGGGTCCAGCGCAATGACGTCCTACGCGGATTCAAGTGGGACCTCGCCATCCCGGGGGGGCTGCGATCTGTGAAACTGTCGTTGCGTTCGAGGGCTGCTGGGGTGTCCAGCACAGTGTTGTCCTATGCGGATTCAAAGGGGACCTCGCCATCTATGGGGGGCTGCGATCTGTGAAACTGTCGCCACTTTCGAGGGCTGCGTGGGGGGCCACCATAGATTGCCTACGCAGATTCAACTTGGACCTCGCCATCCCGGGGGAGCTGCGATCTGTGAAACTGTCGCCAGTTTCGAGGCCTGCTGGGGGGTCCAACACAGTGACGTCCTACGCAGATTCGAACTAGACCTCGCCATCCCTTTGGGGCTGCGATTTGCGAATTTGTCGCCACTTTCGGGGCCTACTGGGGGGTCCAGCACTGTGGCGTCCTACGCGGATTCAAATGTGACCTCGCCATCCCTGGGGGGCTGCGATCTGTGAAACGGTCGCCACTTTCGACTGCTGCTGGGGGGTCCAGCACAGTGACGTCCGATGCGGATTCAAATGGGACCTTGCCATCCCTGGGGGGCTGCGATTTGTGAAACTGCCGCCCCTTTCGCAGGCCGCAGGGGAGTCCAGCACAGTGACGTCGTACGCAGATTCAAACGTGACCTCGTCATCCCTGGGGGGCTGCGATCTGTGAAACCGTCGCCACTTTCGAGGCCTGCTGGGGGGTCCAGCGACGTCCTACGCAGATTCAAAGGTGACCTCGCCATCCCTGGGGGCTGCGATCTGTGAAACTGTCGCCACTTGCGAGGGCTGCTGGGGGGTCCAGCACAGTAACGTCCTACGCAGATTCTAATTCGACCTCGCCATCCCTGGGGGGCTGCGATCTGTGAAACTGTCGCCACTTGCGAGGGCTGCTGGGGGGTCCAGCACTGTGACGTCCTATGCGGATTCAAATGGGGCCTCGCCATCCCAGGGGGGGCTGCGATTTGTGAAGCTGTCGCCACTTGCGAGGGGTGGCGGGGGATCCAGTACAGTGGCGTCCTACGCAGATTCGACCTCGACCTCGCCATCCCTGGGGGGCTGCTGGGGGGTCCAGCACAGTTGCGTCCTACGCATATTCAAACTACACCTCGCCATCCTGGGGGGCTGCGATCTGTGAAACCGTCGCCACTTTCGAGGCCTGCTGGGGGGTCCAGCATAGTGACGTCCCACGCAAGTCCAATTTAGACCTCGCCATCCCTGGGGGGGGGGCTGCGATCTATGAAGCGGTCGCCAGTTGCGAGGCCTGCTGGGAGTTCCAGCATAGTGGGGCCCCGCGGCGGACTGAAATGGGACCTCCCAAATGCTGGTCGCAGCAATACATACGTCCATGTCTCGTCAACACCTTATTATGAAGTCGCCCAACTACTCATGCCCCGCATTGCGCAGGGGTTGGACGGGCTTCGCGCGCGCATGTCGAAATCGTTCGGACGCCCTGACGCGCGTGCTGTCGTGAAGATCGTTTGGGGCAGAAGCTGACGAAGTGCGCGCGCACGTCGTCGCGCGCGAATGCCGGAATCCTTTAGAAAACCTGAGGTTTCGCAAGGGTTTCAACATTGCGTGTCCCGAAGCCAGCTGAACAAAATGGTTTCGCAACGTTGGCTTTTTCAAACGCCTGCGCGCGCGCTCTTGTCTCACTATTTCCACACAATTCTGCAAAACGGGCCTCTCGCGCCGCGTGCCGAAATCATGCGAGCGCCCTGGCGCGCATGCTGGGGGGGGGGGGGGGGGCACGACCCGTGTCAAATAATACCATGCGGGCCACTCTCGCGCGTCGGCCGCGCGCGCATGTCGAACTCCTGGCAAAACCTTCATCACCGACGCGACGACGCCGTCATCGTCGTCGGCGTGATCAACATCGGCGCCGTCACTGGCCGTGCCGTCGTCGCTGCCAGCATCGTCACCAGCATCGCTACGATCATCATCGTGTCTACCGCTGTCGATGTTGCCATGATACCGCGCCCGCCCAAGTCGCCGACTCGGATTGCAGTGCCTGCTGGGATGTGCCCAGCGGTCAGCGCCACCGCGGTCGCGTCGGTCGCGCCAAGCTAGGTGGCCGCTGCGCGCGCGTGCGTGCGCGGGCTGGCGCGGCCGTAGAGGTGCACCAGCCAACGCCAAGCACTCATCGCAATCGCCGCCGTATGGGTTTTGCAAACCAAGTTGCGGGTGGGTGGGTGGGATGCTTGTGCGAGCAATGGAATGGACAATCCAATGCGAACTGAAACTAATGCACCACATGTATTGCACCACGTAGATTACATTACATCGACTGCACCACGTAGACTGACGTACCCTGCTAACAGGTTCCACGCTGGCTAACCTAGATGCAAATGTGTGTATATATACACACACGTGAATGCGTGTATATACATATATGTACATACATGTATGTATATTTACGCACACACATATTTACACACTATGTACATATATATACACACATGCATATACATTGAAAACACGTAGAGGGCGCGCGGGCGGTGGCGAGGTCCCCAGTGGCGCAATGCAGCAGAGTAAGTGAAATCGTGCAGCGCCCTTAAGAACAGACCGAAGACAAGACGACATCATAAGCGTATGCTCCCTCCTTACTCCCCTCCGTTCCCGCCCTCTGTCCTTCTTCCTACCTGCTTCTCCCCAAAGCTTGGGGTTGCGATCCTTATCTCCCTTTCGGGACCCCCGCACCTCTTGTGGGGCGTGGGGGCGCCCGAATTATCCGAGTCGCATCCGGGTGGTCGCGGTATTAGGGTTTGCAGTGGTAATTGGTAGTAATCGCGGTGCCTGGTAGCGGTAGTGGTAGTTATGGAGGTGATGGTCGTGGTCACATTCGCGGTTGTGGTGGCAACAACAGTGGTAACGGTCGTGGTAAGAACCGTGGGAGGCGATGAAGGGCGCTCGTTGCCCTCACCTCTCCTTCTCCTTCACCCCTCCTCCCTGTCTCTCGTCCGCCTCTCACCGCCATCCCACTTCCTGCCCCGCCGCCATGCCGCCCCCCCTCCCGCAAGCACGGCAGAGGGAGCACGCTCCACGCACACGCCCCGCGGCGAACCGACTCCGGCCTCGTGCCTCCTGCACCTCCCTCCTCCCTCCCCCCTCCTCCTGCCACGAGGGGGCGTCGGGAGACGCCGAGGGAACGCACCAGCCGCCCGAGCGCGACCTTCCGAAGCCCTGCGGTTGAGGACGCAGCGTGCGGCGCTGGGTGGGCACCGCGCCTTGCTCAGGTGACGGGCGACGGGTGAGCGGGAGGGGCCCAGGCCTCGAGAGGCTCGGAACTATCGGGTCTGAGTCTTTGCTGCATTTCCGGCCCGGGGCCCCGTTCTGTGCGGCCCGATTTGCTCGCGTCCGCATCGCATGCCAACGCATGGCTTCGACCACATGCGAGCCATCTGGGCATCAGAACTCGCGTGGGCCTCGTCGGGAGACGTCCACTGCGAGTGGCGGTGCTTCCCCATCGGGCAACGAGCCGGAGACATGTACTCCAGATTTCGTAATAAAGGGAGGGGGGTCTCATTTCGGGGGGCGGTCTCTTCCAGGCCATCTTGGAGGGCCTGGGGGGGTCTGGGGACGACGTTTTGGAGGGTTCTCCCACGGGGGGAGGTCTGAAATGGCTTGTCTTGGAGGGTCCAGACCCCCTCCCTTTTATTACGAAATCTGGAGTAGGATGGAAGGATGGGGGAGGAAGGAGGGGGGAGGGCGGATGTGGTGCACGAAGAAGGGGGCACGGAGGAGGGAGGAAGGAGTGGGGGCCTTCCTCTTTCAGGGGGTCGCCCTGGTCCTTCCCCCCCTCTGGGCGTCGGCAAGCAGGCAGACCTGACGACCCCGCGAAGCCCAGTCCCGACATCCCCACTGGGCTCCCACCGATTCGTGCAGAAGCCGCACTTCCAGTAGGGGGAAGATAAGCACGAGGAGGAAGGAGGAAGGAAGAAGGAGGGGGAGGAAGGAGGGGGAGGAAGGAGGAGGAAGGAAGAAGGAGGGGGAGGAAGGAGGGGGAGGAAGGAGGGATTGGTAGGATGGAAGGATGGGGGAGGAAGGATGGGGGGAGGGCGGATGAGGTGCACGAAGAGGGGGGCACGGAGGAGGGAGGACGGAGCGGGGGCCTTCCTCTTTCAGGGGGTCGCCCTGGTCCTTCCCCCCCCCCTTCTTGTGGCGTCGGCAAGGAGGCAGACCTGACGACCCCGCAAAGCCCAGTCCCGACATCCCCACTGGGCTCCCACCGATTCGCGCAGAGGCCGCACTTCCAGTAGGAGGAAGATAAGCACGAGGAAGAACTCAGAAAGAGAAGACGTGGGCGTAGCAAGCTCAAATGATAGCACGCTTTGGCACGGGCCGACCCTCAGGAGATGCTTGGGGTGCGGCGTGCGGTTGCCACCAGAGGCGTCCGCCGGGTATATGAGCTCCAGCAGCTTCGCCTCAAAGAAATAACGCCCAGACTTGATGCCCACGTTCGCTCGGGCACCAGCAAACAAATACTGTGAGCGGATATTTGCATGCGAAGCCCTTTCCAATACTGCCGCCAAGCACGGATCGGGCCGAGCATCCTCTGCAGCGTAGGCGGAGACAAAAAATGCCAGTCGGTACGCCAACAGTTCGCAACGTCTGCACACGTATGGTCTTGGAGCCATGATGTGAAAACGGTGATCGATGAGCCACCTGGGCCAACGCCGCTCGCCCACTCACTCGGAAGTCATACGCCGTTCGGTGCGTGAGCAAGAAACCGAACTCGAGCAACCATACAAGACACTTTGTGAGTTGCGGCGCTGGCAAAATAGAGCAAGAAGAGGCGCAACGGCAATCATTACAGGTCGGTGTCGTAACCGCCACCCTCAACTCTTTGCGCTGGCCCCGGATCTGCGGCTCTCTTGCCCATGGGCAGCATGACCGTGCAACGCTGCTGAGCCCAAGCCCGCCCCGATGCGCCGTCTGGGTCAGTGTCGCAGCCACCACCCTGCTGCTCCCCTGTTCACGGGGCAGCACCTCGCCATCGCTCGGACGTCCATTTCCCGTGCCTTTGTCGGTTTCGTGTTTTTTTCTTTTTGCTCGATGGTCCAGGATCGTCCTCAATGGTTCTCGCCGAGGAAAAATACACACGTCCGAGCGATTTTTTTTTTTTTTTTTTTTTTTTTCGATGGTCCAGGATCGTCCTCAATGGTTCTCGCCGAGGAAAAATACGCACGTCCGAGCGATGTCAGCAGCACGACTGTGTGGGGCTGCCTGGGCACAGGCTCCGCCCTGCGGCTCACGTCGTTTGCCTCCTTTCCCCCCCCTGGGTCCCAACGGGATCTAAAGACGGCGGCCCCGCGAAGCCTCCAAGAGGGGCGGTGGAGGAGGAGGAGGAGGAGGAGGAGGAGGAGGAGGGGAGGAGGAGGGAGGAGGAGGAGGAGGAGGAGGAGGGAGGAGGAGGAGGAGGAGGAGGAGGAGGAGGAGGAGCGAGGAGGAGGAGGAGGAGGAGGAGGAGGAGGAGGAGGAGGAGGAGGAGAGGAGGAGGAGGAGGAGAGGAGGAGGAGGAGGAGGCGGCCTCCGAGGGCGCAGTGCGGCCTCAAGGCGTGTCCGCAGGCTGGCCCCCCAGGTGGCCCCAGGCCGACCCGGGAGGCCCCCGAGACGACATCGGAGGTCGGAGAAGATACCCCAAGACGGACGCAGATAGGGAAACGATGAAGGGGCCCGAGGACACAAATAAATACACACAAATAAAACCATCCCCCATCTTCTCTCATATTTTCGGGGTTTCTGTCTTCCCGCCCACTTCTCCCATGTTTTCCCATACTTTCTGGGACATCGAGGATTCATGGTGTCTGTGTGTTTCTTTTCCTCCTGAAGCGAACTCTATATACACCGACGCTTTTTTTCCGACTCTGCACCGAAATTCGCGCAGGAGCGCGGATGCTGGTGCATGCGGCATCCTGGTGTATGCATTTCTCGCTGTTTCCCTGGGAAGACGGTGACAACAAGATGCACCAAACCACCCTCCGACGTCGTCCCCGACCCTCAAAAAGTCATGGGATTGAGGAACAACCCGCCACTGGTAAGGTATATGCTCCAGCTTCCGACCAGAGGGCCCCGCTCCAGTACTCGCCGCAGTGGCTCCCCCAACGGCCGGGAGAACACGCAGTCCTCTGGCAGGGCCGCAGTGCTGCTTGGCACCTCACGACGCGTGCGCTTGCAGAAGGCAGGGGCGCAGCGGCGCCTGGCCGTCGGCGCCCACAGTCGTGCTGCTCTTTTTTTTTGGCTGGCCGGGTCCAGCTCGTCTAGGCATCAGATCAAGCTGTTCGTGGGCAGGTCTAGGTCTGCCTTCCTCGCTGGCTCTGCCCAGCATGGCTCTCGGGAGAATTCTTCGGTGGAGCGCCCCGCATCGAGCACCCGCAGCCAGCTGCAGACAGACCCCTGCTGGAGCACACGATCCAACTACTGCGCGGGTGTCACTTAAGAGAACAGGGGCTCTGGTTGGGAGAGCCCCGACAATACTTGTTGAAAGGGTGAATGCTTATATGGATCATGCGCTGATGTATCCTATCCTGTTTTGTTGAGCCTGAAACGTGCATGCCGAAGCATATCTCAATGATGGGGACAAGCGGGGGACAATTTGGCCGTGGGTCTCCAGAGCCCCGCGCGAAGCTCTGCAATGCACTCCTGACACAATTCTGGGGCGATCGACTTATGAACCGCAGGACGGGGTAACTCTCCATCCCAAATTCGTAATTCGAACCAAACGAGTCGGCACTGTCGCCGAGGCCATCCTCGATTCCGTCAGAAGCATCATCCTTTTCTGTGCTGGCATCGCGCGTCGCACAGTGTCGCGAATTATGAGCGCGTGGCCAAGAGGGGGTACCATACACCTGGGAACGGACAATAATCCAAACGAGTACAGCACGCGCGTTATACCCGTAACGAGACTTGATTGTCTGGACCTTACTACCATCCACTCCGTGAAAGAAAGAAGCGTCCTGGATGCCACCCTCTGTCAGCGGCATCAGGGTATCCCCGACCTATTGCACGGTAGGAAGCTTGGTGGCGAGGGGGCCGCAAACGAGTGACAACTGCACGAGGACAAATATCTGTCTGTGCTGTGGGGTCTGCTGGCTTGTACATTACACGTCGACGCTGTAATACATTGCCCGTGCAACACTCACTCCAAATGTACATTTATCTGTATAATACATGCCGGTGCAACCAATGTCGTAACTACAATAATATATTGTGCCCTGGTTAGTGACAATTACCGCTATTGCGCAACGTGCGGAACATGGATGCCTTCGGATCTGGTGCATAGCATCCCGACCACCTTGGACGCATCCTCGTTTTGCTTGACAAAGGTGACCGCCAGAATAGAATTCCGTCCTTGAGGTGGCCAACGCGTCCTGACTACCTGGAGAAATCTGCCGTCCATTTGGGTGCCGCTCTTCTTGAACACCCCTATGTGTCCTGCTATTTTCATCACGTTGCCCCCCTCCCGGGAAACCAAACATAACAAAGGGCCGAGCACGAAAGTCTGCACCGTCCCGACCAGCCTGGACTGCCACACGCAATGGGAATCCACCGATAGTCTGTGTACGCCTAGAAGCTCCATCCTCCTCCTTCCTTCACCCTTTTCTTACCTCCTCCTTCCTCACCCGATCCCTTCCCACGTGATATACACATTCCTGCCTCCGCCTGCCTCCAGCTTCTGCTCCTGCTCCCTCCAAGCTCCTCCCTCCCTCGCCCTCCTCCCTACTCCTACCTCCTGCTCCCCCCCTCCCCTTCTCGCTCACCCCTCCTTCTCCCTCCTCCTCCTCCTCCTCCTCCTCCTCCTCCTCCTCCTCCTCATGGTTTCGCTCTCAGTCGAATGGCAGCCGCTCCGTCCGAAGACCTGCCCGGCGGGATGGGCCGGGGTCCCCCGTCCGAGGCCCCCCGGCCGAGGCCCCAATCCCCACTTCTGAGCCGCGCGAGTGCGGGGGTATCCCTCCTCCTCCTCCTCCTCCTCCTTGCTCCTCCTCGCTCCTCCTCCTCCTCCTCCTCGCTCCTCCTCGCTCCTCCTCGCTCCTCCTCCTCCTCCTCCTCCTCCTCCTCGCTCCTCCTCCTCCTTCTCCTCCTCGCTCCTCCTCGCTCCTGCCCCTAATCGTCCTCGAGATTCTCGGTCGAGGCTGGAGCCTCTGCCCGGGCGGCGCTCACGACATCCTGATGCCCAGCCTGCCGAGCTGCACGAGCTCGGGCGCCTCCTCGTGGTAACGATTGCAGTGACCATTCGTTCATGTGCGTCTGCCAGCGGTGCGCCTGTTTCATCCTCATCGGCAGGATCGCTGGGTTCGCTTAGCTATGCAAGCCTCTCGAGGCTCCACGCTGGAAGCTGCTCAGCAGGGGGCTCCGCCCTAATAAGGCTGGGATCACGTTCGAACTTTTACTTTTTTGCTCTACGCAATGAGGGCCACTGGCCGTGGATGTCAAACATCATCCTCTGCCTCCTCCTCCTCCTCCTGCTCACCTCCCCACCACCACCATCATCATCATCGTCATCATCATCACCATCAGCATCATCATCATAACCATCATCACCACCACCATCATCAACACCACCATCACCATCATCATCATCACCATCACCACTACTTACCACCATCCTCCTCCACCTCCTCCTCACTCTCTTTATCCTCGTCCTCATCCTTATCCTCATGATCATCATCTGCATCCTCGTCCTCATCCTCAACCTCATCATCATCTTCAACCGCATCGTCATAATCAGCACCATTGCCAGCATTAACATCAACATCGTCATCATCATCATCATCATCATCATCATCATCATCATCATCATCATCATCGTCGTCATCATCATTATCATCGTAGCTAGCATCATCATTACTATCGGCAACGCCATCATCATCACCAACAGCATCATCACCATCATCATAATCGTCATCATCATCGTCGTCACTATCATTATCACCACCATCATCACCGTCACCACCACCACCATCCTCATCGTCACAACCATCATCATCATCACCATCATCCTCAGCATCACCATCACCATCATCATCACCAGCCTCATCACCATCACCACCACTACCACCACCACCACCACCACCACCACCACCATCATCATCATCATCATCATCATCATCATCATCATCATCATCATCATCATCATCATCATCATCATCATCATCATCATCATCATCATCATCATCATCATCATCATCATCACCACCACCATCATCATCATCATCATCATCATCAGTAGCATTATCATCATCATCATCGTCATCAACATCACCATCTCATCATCATAATCATCATCAGGATCAACATCATCATAATCAGCATCATCGTCGCCACCATCATCCCTCCTCCACCTCTCATCCTCTCTTCCGTCCTTGCTACTCCTCTCCTTCTCTCCTCTCCCTATCCATGGCTTCTCCTCCTCGCTCGCGCTGTTGACCCCTCCTGTTCCTCCTCCTCTTCCTCCTTATTCCACTTCCTCTGTCTCTCCCTCTCCTGGTTCTTCTTCTTCTTCTCTTCTTCCTCCTCCTCCTCCTCCTAGTCCTGCTCCTCCTCCTCCTTCTCCCAATGCCAATGGCCAACAACCTCCCTTGCTCTCGATGTGGATCGAACGCTCTGGACAGTCTTCAAGGATCCTTGCCAGTAACCGCTGAACACCTCAACCATCAGGGCCACTGAAGATGGTCGGGAACTCTTGCTAACAGTTTCGAAGCGGTGGCCCTGGCGATACGCCACGCCCTGTAAGCTGGTAGCGTGTCGCTCCGCTCCGCGGGGCGGGCGTGTGGAAAAGGCTCGGGACGTTGACACCCGGGGACCCGGACGCGGTTGGCGTGCCGCGCCGAAGCGTAGCGGGCCAGAATTGGCGGCGCGACACGCACATGCAGCACACTTTCTAGACCGCAGGGGCCCGGTCAACGCTCGCCCACCTTCGGGGGTGGACAGAATCCCGTGTAGCAAACACCCTTCAGTGAAGACGACCCGGGACCAAACCTGGCGGGCGCAGTCCCGCAGAAACTGCGGCCGCAACGCCCTCTCGAGAACCGACGAAAGGCAATTCGCTACTCGACCTGACAGGGCGGGGGCACATCTCCCCCGGGCAGGGGCTGCGGACGACTGCGCAGCAAGCTCGAGGCGGACCCCGTCATCGCTTTTAAGACCACGCTGCGGTGCTCCTCCGTTCAACAGGCCCGGCTCCCCTACGGGTTGAGGTGTTGGAAGCCCGCTCGCGTCCCAAGGATACACCCGAGACAATCCCTCTCGTCCTTCTCCTTCTCCTCCACCTCCTCCGTCTCCATCCTCGTCGTCCTTCTCCTCCTCCTCGTCCTCCTCCCCCCTCCTTCCAAAACGTCCAGAAGCTGCGTCCACCAGCAAACTAAAGCCCCAGAGGTCCACAGTTGACACATGAGGCCAGGCAGCAGACTTCTGACAAGCGCCATTCGCTCAAGAGGACGGGGGGGAGAGGGGTGCGGGGGAGACGATGGCGGCGGTGGGCGGTGCCATTGACGCTCGGTCGTGGTCTCGTCAGACTTCGGGACGCGCGATTCTGGACACCACATTCAACCGACGAGGCTGACAGTGATCCGCTGCGGAGGGCGAGGAGGAAGGGCAGCGATGCCTTAACGAGCCATCGCCTCTGTGAGCCCAGATCTCCGACGTTTTCTCGACGTGGGCCCCCACAAGTCGGGACCCCTTCCCTGGGACTGGCTTTTCATCCCGAGCTGTTCTTGACTGTCCTGGGGCCCAGCGAGGGCCCCCCGAGGCCGAGGATGGCCAAACACCTCCCGCCGAGTGTTTCTCGCCGCAGCGAGAGGGGTGGGGGAACACCGCCCTCCACAAGCGGAAGAGGACGAGCACGAATAACAACATACAACTACTAACTTTAGGTCGGGCCTGTCCCCCTACAGGGCGACTTTCGACTAAAAATGAGAAATCACCCCCAAAACATTTGAAATAGTCAAACGTAATTATGAAAATCGTCCTCAGACGATTTCTGGACAATCTTCGAATATTCCTCCTGTAGAGGGACAGGCCCGACTCAATACTAACAATAACTTCCCCGAGCGAAGCAACCTAATAGCAGCCAAGGTGAAGAGGCGAGGTCGAAGAATAGGAGAAGCACGGCCGGGAAACCGGAGAAAGACAATCTACAGCCAAGATAGCGGAAAGAGCACGGCCATACGCACCTTTGCATTTTTGATCACGAGGGATCGTGGCCGCCTGGACCAAACACGTAGCCGGCATTAAGGCGAGAGCGGCGAGAGCACGGCCATGTGCACCTCAATGTATGTCATGAAAATCCTCGTGACCTTTCGGCTCAAACACGTAGCCGGCATTGAAGCGAGAGCACGCTTCCTGAATCAGTGGTACGTAGGTCCCAGGCGAAGCCGCCGCCGGACCGTGCCAGACCAGGCGGTTCAAGGCTCCCCGTCCACACTGTGGTGCTCTGCTGTGGTCCTTGAACTTCTTCTTTGCAAAGGATCTTGGCCGTCCTGGCCAAAAATATAGCCGGCATGCAAGCGAGAACACGCTTCTGGAATAAGTTGTGGGGCAGTCCCCAGCGAAACCGCCGCTGGACCGTACTGGACGGTGCTGGGCCAGGCGGTTTGGGGCTCCCCGTCCACCCTGTGGGGCTCTTCTGTGGTCCTGCAAATGTGTTAGTAAGAAGCGATCGTGGCCGTCCGAACCAAGAATGTAGCCGGCATAGGATCAAGAATCCACTTCCTGAGCACATCGAAGAAATCTGGGTTCCGGGCTCTTGCCGGACTTGCTGGTCCAGGGCTCCCTGTCCTCCCTGTTGGACTCTTCTGTGGTCCTTTTTTACCTATATGAGACCCCCCCAGCGAAGTTCTATTGGGCACGAAACAGCAGAAACAGAAACTTCCACACAGCTCCGCGCGGATTTTCTGGATCGGCGCTGAACCACCTCCCTCCCTGGCGCGCGGGGCGCGCCCGGGGCGGCGCCGGAGGCGCCGCCAGGGGGGGGGGGCGCGCCGATCTGAGAAACCCGCGCGGTGCTCCGAACGTGTACGCTCAGGCAGGCTTTCGGGAGCGGCCAAGAGGGGGGTGTCCAAGAGGGGGGCGTGCAAATCGTGACCGGCGGCATGTGCGCGGCCCAGCGGGGGGGAAGTCAGGGACGTCATGAGATGAGAAGAGGCGCCGTGAAGTCTGGGGAGGTATCATGGCCCCCGCCATGAGATCCACATCCCCCCCCTAGTCATCACCCCCCTCCGTGCCGCCCCCGAGGCTTTCCGCCCTCGAGCAGGGGCGCCCCGTGCGGACCGATGACTTCATCAGGTTCAGCGTGGTGTCGGGCGCGAGGAAGCACACCGTGCCCCGCAGCCCGGGCCGGTCGTCCTGCCCCGGGGGAGCACCCCGCCGCAGCCCTGCGCCCCAGCAGCGGCGCGGGGGCCAAGGGGGGGGGCGGCCAGCCGCACGCCCCGCGGCAGGCACGCGCGACAGGGCGGCTCGCTGGAAGGAGCTCCGGGGCACATTGATCGTCGACCTCTGAGCTTGCCACGTAAAGCAGGGCTATAGGATCCGGATGAATCGTCGCTCCAGAGCGTTCCGGAGCGCTCTCAGAGCGTTCCGGCTCGCTCTGGAGCGGCCGCGGCGCCCAATACATCCTCCAAGCCCGCCGATTCTCAGAGATTTCGACTTCTCCCGAACCGATTTTGTCCCGACCTTCGCGTCGTTTCAGGCTCGCTGGAAGGAACTCCGGGGCACATTGATCGTCGACCTCTGAGCTTGCCACGGTGCCCCGAGCGCTTCTGCCGGTCCCCACGGGCCATCGGGGGACGAGGCGTTTCCGCGGGGCACCTGCTGGCACGCCGGCCTCTGATCTGAGACACCTGGCGTGGGCCAACCGCGCTGGAGGCTGGTGAGAGCAAGGGCCGGGAGGCGCCCGAGGCCTGTCACGCCAGCGTGAAGGGGAACGGTTGAAGGGGGACTGGCTCAAGGTGTGGGGGTGGGAACATCGAGCCCGAATCGGCGATACACCGCCCGCAGATCGGCGATAGACCCCCGATGGCAAATCCGCACGCCCCTGTGCGGGGCGGGCTTCCACGGATCCACTCACGGACCCACTGCAATGGATTTCCATTGAAGTCATTCCATGCGTAGCATGCTCACCCCTAAATGGACCGTGAACGGGACCCAGTCCCCTGCCGGTCGTCTAGTGCCGCCATCATAGGCAACCAGAGGGGCCATCGTAGTCACCTCGCACCCAATTCGGGGCCATCAGCAAGGCTCGTTTGGGAAGAAGGACCATCACAGGCCTTCGCGCTCAATTTGTTCATTGAACTCAACTTTCTCGTCGTCGTCGTCCTCCTCCTCCTCCTCCTCCTTCTCCTCCTCCTCCTCCTCCTCCTCCTCCTCCTCTTGGTCTCCACCCCATCGGAGCCGCGATACAGGCAGTGCGGACAGCACCTCGGCCTCGATCGGGTCGTGCTCGTGAATTTCACGGTTTCCGTGATCATGGGTGTGTTCACGGTGCGTTGCAGGGAGTCCGCAATCGTAGGTCGGGTCGTGCTCGTGAATGTCACGGTCTTCGTGTTCATGAGTGTGGTCACAAGGCATTTCACGGAGTCCGCAATCATAGGTCGGGTCGTGCTCGTGTGTTTCACGGTCTTCGTGATAATGAGCGCGATCACAGTGCATGTCACGGGGTCCGCAATCATAGGTCGAGTCGTGCTTGTGAATTTCACGTTTTTCGTGGTAATGAGCGTGGCACGGTGCGTTTCACGGAGTCCGCAATCATAGGTCGGGTCGTTCTCGTGAATGTCACGGTCTTCTGATTCATGAGTGTGGTCACAGTGCATTTCACGGAGGATGAGCACGACGGACGTTGTTGGTGTACGTCCGCCCTTGCCCCCCCCCCCCGCCCCCGGTGAGGACCATCATAGGCCTTACCAGTGAGGACCACCATGAGGCCTCACACCCCTCGCAATTTCCATCATTGGAATTGCGGGGGTCGAACCAAATCCCCACAAACCTTGCACCGTACGTGCAGTGCCAGGGGCGGCGGCCCGTCTTCCCATCTTACCATCATAGGGGGATGCGAAGTCCCTGAAGACGGGACGGGGTGGGCACGAGCGGGCATCATAGCTGGCTCAAAATCAAAAGAAGCATCATAGCCTCATCAGTCTAGATTGATCCACTCACGGATCCACTGCAATTGATTTCCATTGACTTCATTCCATGCGTAGCATGCTCAACCCTGTCGGCGACGAAGCGGCGAGTGGGGGTCGGCGCGCCCCCCTCCCCCCCCCGGAGCCCATCTTTCCCTCCCCTGACGCTGCCCCTGAGGCGAGGGCCTGGAAGCGCCCGAGGCGCCGTCGCGCTAGGCGCGTGCTTCGGGGCGGCACCTCCCAGGCGCGTGTCAGAGCCCTGCCCCCGCTCGGCCCGGCCCTGCCCGAGTCCGCCCGTGTACAGGGCCTACAGGGCAGGCGCCAGCATCCTTGGGCCAGGTGGGTCACGGAGGTCAGCAGGGTGGAACCAGGACCAAACAAAAAACGAATCGACGACTAAGCAAACGCTGGCAATCAAAGCTCTATGTGACAGCTCTCCCTTGCCCTAGGCTGCAGGAAAGGCGCCAATATTCCTGGGCGTGTCGGACGAGGTGCTCTTGGATGCAGTCGTCTTGCTGCCATAAGGAGCGCTGAGCGACGAACGGGGGGTCTCTTCTTCTCTTCCGGCCATTGCGAGCTCCGGCCACGAACAGGCTCTGCGACCTAATTCTAAGGACTGGCCCAGAAACTACCTAAGGACCTCCTTGAGAACAAGGTGATCCTTGTCTCCGTGCCCCGGCTGTAAGCGAAGAAGTTCGGCGGCGGGTGGGCTGAAGGTCGCAATGACCAAGACAAGTGAAAGGATTGTGCGAGGCCGACCGGTGGCAGGGCCCGACGCGGCCCGCCCTTCCCCGTGGGGGGAATGGGAGGAGGAGGAGGAGGAGGAGGAGGAGGAGGAGGAGGAGGAGGAGGAGGAGGAGGAGGAGGAGGAGGAGGAGGGGGAGGAGGAGGAGGAGGAGGAGGAGGAGGAGGAGGAGGAGGAGGAGGAGGAGGAGGAGGAGGAGGAGGAGGAGGAGGAGGAGGAGGAGGGAGGAGGAGGAGGAGGAAGGAGGAGGAGAGGAGGAGGAGGAGGAGGAGGAGGAGGAGGAGGAGGAGGAGGAGGAGGAGGAGGAGGAGGAGGAGGAGGAGGAGGAGGAGGAGGAGGAGAGGAGGAGGAGGAGGAGGAGGAGGAGGAGGAGGAGGAGAGGAGGAGAGGAGGAGGAGGAGGAGGAGGAGGAGGAGGAGGAAGAGGAGGATGAGGAGGAGGGAGGATGAGGAGGAGGAGACGACGTACCCGTGAAGGTCCGTCCGACCGCCGGCATCGACCTCAGGCCAACGCATGAGCGTCGGCTGAGGGGGAGTGGGCTCCAGCTGGGTGTCCCTTGGGTTCTTTTTCGGCCTCCCGAAAGGCAGGGGAACCCTTTGCCATTTCCACCACCGGCAGAGCCCACAGGTGGCGCTCGAAGCAGACCATGAAGGCGCTGCGGGAAGACTCACCGCTGCTCGCCCTGAAATGCGAGTAAAAGGAAGAGTGAGGTGGGCAGGGCAGCGCCGAAATAAGTGTGGAGCGAGAGCAGGTCCTCTACCGCTCCATGGCCACCTCTGCCGCACCTCTGATTTCATATGCCCGCTCAAGGGACATCGGCGAATGCTATGCGAAGTCCTTAGCCCTATGGTACATATGGCAAAGCTAGAAGCGAGCCTGGACAATGACGGCGCCTCCATGCATGATGCATGGCAAGGTGGCGGAAGATGCGCGGGCAGCGAAGGTAGTGTGCAATCTCGCCAGGAGCAGTGCAGCCCCAGATGCAAGCGGTGGGCGGAGTGCCAACGTGCAAGCGGTGTTTGGTTGTCCACGCGCCGCAGAGGGCTCTGAGAATGCTCCACTACCGCGCTGGCTTCAAGCGTGCCATGCAAGACTTACAATGTTCCCACCGCCCGTCCACCGACCGCCCCCCTCCAGGTATCAGGATGTGCCATGCCCCTAGACGCTTCCGCAGCGTGTGTGCGAAGGTGTCTGGAAAAAGGCAAATGGGCGGAGCGCGAGCAAATCTGCGTTGAGGGTGGCTATCGGCCCACTCGCACAACCTCTGAATTTTGGGTGCGTGTAGCACGGAAAGCATCGCGCCAGCCCTATACGTATGTTGGCAAGACGTGGTGGAGGCAAGCGCGTTCGCTCCAAACACTGCGCAATGGAGTAGGGTCTTTTCCAGCATGCGGCCGAGTACTTGCCAGCGCAGAAGCGAACGATGGCGGCATGATCCTGCGCGTGCTCTCTGAGGCTTTTCAAGGCAGGCTGCCAAACGCGATTCGTTGCCCAGAAGGATGCGCGCCAGCTGCTGGCCCAGCTAAGTAAAGAGACGGAGGAAGGAGCAACTGTTCAGAAGGCTGGCAAAAAATTCGGGTCGGCGCGGCTGAGGCTGTTCGTCGAAATTCTACATGTTCGCAAGACCACTGGGGGCAGCACCAGAGTGGGGAACGGCGATGCTGCGGGTCCACGACTTCTCTGCAGCGGGGCCCCAGTTGTTACTTACATTGGCGGCGGGCCCCATTTCGACCCCGAGGTCGGTGGTGTGGCCTGCAATCTTGGCGCTGCTCCATTGCAGGACACACGGTTGAAATTCTAGTCGAACCCTGCCTTTGATTCCATCCGTGCAGTCGGCCCAGAGAGGGACCAGGACACATCTCGCCCCTTGGAGTTTGAGCACGGCAAAACGCTCAACATCTTGGACAACTCTGAAGACCCCCACTAGACCCCGAAGGCGAGGCATCGACATGCCAACGTCGCCCGCGCAACCCCCAAGAGAGCCTTTGTGTTGCCTCGCCTGTGGAATCTGGGTGGCTGCGTGCAGGAGGCGCAATACCAGGTCCATCGCTAAAGCTCAAGTGTCACTGAAAGAGTGCATCCCTGAAAAAACGCCAGAGCACGGGTGAACTAGGAAAGTTACCTGATTTGGAATCCGAGCAAACCTTCTCTCAGGAAGTAAATTGCCCGAGTGAAATTTAGGACTCAAGGTGGGAAACCGAATCCACTCAGAATCTCGAACAGCCAATAGCGGCCCAGACTCGAGAAGGCTGCCTCCGCGTGGTGGGCAGCGAACGCTGGGAGGTCCGTGCCCACCTCGGGATTGACGCTGGCTTGGCGGGCAGCGGCGTCCAGGTGGACGATTTTCGAAAGGAAGTGTTGTCCAGGGATGAAGCCCTGTTGGGCTTCGTGTACTTTCTCCCGGGCGACCTTGCTGATCT